CAGCGTTCCCCCACACATTGAGTACAATGGCACAACCTTCTAGGAAGTCTAGTAAGTCAAGGAATCAATTGCCTTCTCATCTACTCGGACATTAGAAACAGTTGATTACTGCTTGAAGTTGCACATTTGGACCCAGGGACCTAACCTTTTGACAGTGTCCCCTTGACAGCTTGGGGAGTTTCACAAGACGTTGCAAGCAAACAAACACACGTTAGAAACAATAGTAGCCAAGTTGGGTCCCTGCAGCCAACTCCACCATTTATAAGATCAGAGTGGACCTTATTGTAACTGCAACTCCACATTCCTGTCTATGCCAATTTAACTCTTCAGTCCCTTGCTTACCAAGAAATTGTCCACCTCTGCCTTAAAAATATTCAAGAAAGCTGCCTCCAGCACGCTTTGAGAATAAGTCAAAAAACTTAAGATTCTTCAAGAGAGAAAATATTGCATTATCTTTGTCTTAAATGGGCAACCTGCAAGTGGAAACATTCTCTGGACCTCCAAGCTGTTAGGTCCCTCTCATCAGCTTATATTTCAATCAAATCGTCTCTCACTGTTCTGACTCTCAAAACACTCATGAACGACCCAATACAGGAAATTTCTGATCTTTGATCTTTTGAGAAGCTCATGAGCAAATGAGAAGTTTTAGACTCTCCAGTGTGCAACTATGGTCACTTGGGACATATAACAACTGCTCGATTTAGCAGTGTAAAGGAGGCATCAAGAAATAGATTGTACTATTCCTGAAACAACTAATTGATTCAACCATTTGAATATAAGATTACAGTTTTTGCTCTATATCTACATCCAGTATGAGAGTATGTTGTTAAAGAGATGCTGGACTGGATCAGTTAAGACTGTATTCATTGGAGCTTAGAAGAACAAGGGAGGTGGCGAGATGGGGGCGGAGGAGGAATCTCATAAAACCAGAAAAGGTAAATGTAAGAAGGATGTTGCTGATAACCGAGGGAGTCCAGACCAGGGTTACTGGGTGTGTCACTTAGAACTGAGGTGAGGAGAATTTTCTTCACCCAGAGAGTGGCAAGCCTGTGGAATTCTCGACCACAAAAAGCACTTGAAGCCAAAACACTCAATATTTTCGAGGAGTTAGATGTATTTCTTGAGTCCAGTAACAGGATACTGCTTTGGATGGTCAGTCGTGATCATATTGAGTGGTGGAGCAGGCTCTAAGGGCCAAATGGCTTACTCTTGCTCCTGTTTTCTGTTTGTTGTATTTACATACAAGTACAATGATATGGATCCAATGTTCTGATATCCATAGTAGCTAGTTTTTTGTTTTAAAGTAGCAGTTAAGTTCTATATCTTTCATTCAGAGTCAGCATCGTCATTTTTGAAGTATCTGTATCTTGCAAATCTATTGTTCTGATTTTCTGCACTCTATATACGTAAGCTGTACTGAGGTCTGGCTAGACTCGATTGATAACCTTACCAGATGCTTAACTGTATGACAGGCTGTCAGCCAGTCACCTTGTGTCAGTGACAATGAGGAATTCTACATTACTGTTTGAGCTTGTCAGTGGTTTTGACGGCTGCCAAGGGCGAGCAAAACATGTTAACAACTCGAACAGCTGCAGAAAGAGTGACCAAATTTTAATAAAGTCTGTTTATAGCACATTGGTGAATTCAAATAATAGGCTGCTTGAAAGCCTCTGCCACAAGTCTTTTCTTTAGGTTACCCTGAATATCCGAGCTTCACAGTATCCAAGTTATCCATTATTCAACACTGCGAGTTCTTGACTTCCTCCCATGTAGGATACTTTGGAGTGTTACCAGTCTATATGGAATCGGGATTTCCAACAAGACCTGGAAACCCGTAACTTCGAGGGCTGAGGATACTTGCCCCAATTTTTTCTCAATGTTTAAGCTAAATAAATTCAAATGTTTTCACATTCAAATGTGTGGAGTAGTTCAGGCATTTGTGACAACTGGCACAAAATAAATCAAACCAATAGTGCTTTATATTTTGGAGTTTGAGGAACGAAGGAAATACTCCTTTTCACCTGAATAGTGAGTTTGATGAGTTCCTGATGTTGCATCACAAGTACAATAATCTTGATTATCCAGCTGCTGAGAACAGCACGTAGCTTTCAGTTGAAATGCAATTTGACAGCTTATTGTTGGCAAATGAATCTCAATTAAGTGAAGAAGGGTGGGGAATTGGTGATTCAGTATGTGGGGTGTAAGGAAGACGAGGAGAAGGTAGTTGAGGCAAATTGGGAGTGAATTGGGAAGGGAATTGGAAGATTGTGGGGAAGTATCAATAACATTTGGGACTAAGAAGTCTGTTTCACTGTTGGGAGGGTGTCGGGTGAAAACAGCCATTAACAGTCTAGGTTCTTTGAATGTGAGTCAGTAGGGATGCTGCTGCCATCCTCCTGATTCTACATTTAGTAAATATATTTTAAGAAATGTTTCCTTCCTGGTTTTTACCTAGATTAGTCCCCTAACTGCCTATTAAGTTCTTGTGTGCAGCTGATAAATACAAAGCTTAAGAACCATTTTCTTTTATTTCAAATGTCCAGATGCCATGATGTTTTGTATTTGTAAGGGTGGAACCAATTAGTTGTGTTTGGGCAGGGAAGAAAGCATTGCAAGAAATCAGCAAGGCTAGGGAGCAGAGGCCTAGTTTCTAGAAGCCGAGGACACTGCATACTGCGTTCTGTTCTGCTCCGCACACTTCCAGCTCACACTGAGCATGTTACAGCTGAATGTCTAGACTTTTATATCTCAGGATATACTTAAAATTTGACAAGCTTCAAAACTGTTTAAAGATAATTATATGGAATCAACAACCAGAAACAAGTTAAATTGGCCTGTGAAGCATTAAAGTGGAACCAAATCATTGTCAGCTAGGAGTTTTGAGGGTTACAAAGATATTAAGTGCATCGACATAATTAATTTGGGGTTAAGAGATTAGAGAGCTTGTCTGGTGTGAAGAGAGAGTCGAAAGTATGCATTTTAACCACCTGCCACTACTGGCACCTCTGTTCTCCTTCATAGCTTTCCTTCGCTGGCACAAAGCGCATACTGCCCCAATGGATTCCTAGTTGAGATGAACCATTAGGCTAAAATATGTGTTCTCACCTGTCAGCTGTACATTTGTGGCTGTCTCAATTATTGACAAGGAGTTAGTAAGGTATTTTATGCCTTCCTGTTCAGTTCTGTCTGGTCTTGCTTTATTCTTGCCCATGCCCTGCAGTTGACTCCTCTTCACTCTTGGAAAAGCAAACTACTGTGGAAACTAGACATTTGAAATAAAAAAAATAGAAATAGAAAATGCAAATAATCAGCAAGATGAGCAGTACCTGTTTAAAAACAAAAAAAATTTAAGATTTCAGGCAGTGGCCTTTCATCAGAACTTCTGATGAAGGATCATTGACCTGGAATGTTAACTCTGCTACACTGTTCAGTGCTGCTGCTTGACATGATCAATATTTGCAGCTCCAACATTTTTTTCTTTTGTTTTCATCTTCCTCATTCTTACCATGTGTTCCCATTGTTATGCACCAGACCAAAACCCCTCAAAATATATTGGTAAGAAAGCCTAAACCCTAATTTTTCTTATTTTAAAGGCAAGTGCCAGGCGTTGCACTCTGGGTACAATTTGATTGGTCAGACTACCAGACTTGAAGCAAAACACACTTTTATATACATATACTACAATTAAAATAGAACAAAAGAAAACAGAAATTGGAATAACTAACTCTATTGGAAAACATAACGGAATAATAGATTATTTAATTACTAAACAGTAGCTGTTCCAATATAGTAACATCCCATAAATCCACCTTTTCAAAGGCAAACTCAGTAAAATGGATTGTCTCTCATGCAATTCTCCAGTCCAGGAGGGAAAAATCATCGAGCGAATAGCAGAGAGAGATGTACTGGCTTCCAAACTCCGCTTCAAGACACCAGCAACTGCTAATGAAAAGTAAAACCAAAAATCCTGGGAGCTTGACCCTACCCATTCAGGCTACCTTTATTGTTTCAACTGGTTAAAAAAAAAATCCAAGGCCTCACAAACTGTTTACTCTAGCGTCTCTGAGTAGACTGCTCGGCATCTCTGTCTCACCTATTTTTTAAAGAAAAGGGCAAAATTCACCTCTTAAAACCATAGTATCATCACGCCATCTATATGCACAATTGGAGATTGTCAAGGAAATACTATGTGACCGGATACATACACTTTGATTATTTCAACCTTTTTCCAAGTAATTATACCGTTGTAAAGATGAAAAACCCTTTGTCCAGATCCAATTTTTGCAATTAACCTTATGACTTTGGTAACTTGGACACTTTCATGCTTTTGGCATCCCATCATTTACCATCTTACAAATAAGAAGGGATCAGCCCTTCTCCTCTTCCTCTAGTTGTCCTCATGTCCAAATAAAAGGAACAATTTCTTTGGTATAATCTATTTACTCCAAGTCTCAAGTAAAGAAATAGACTAAAATCAATGTAATTCCAAGTAGAAAATGCCTTGCAGCTTTGCAGGATGCCAAATAGTTTCAGGTTAAAATGAGTATAGTTTGTGGAAGGTTGAGAATCGTGTGGCTGTCAGAAGTTGTTTTGCAGAAATGTTCACATATGCAGTGTGATGTTGCCTTCAGATTCTGTTTTATGAATGAAAAAATGTTACCAACTTCTCTTTTCACCCAGTGTAGAAATAAATCTGTCAAATATAGCTGAAATAATCAGGCATTAATAATTTAAAATGTTTTGTTTAAATGTTCTGATTCTTTCAATCTTCATAGTGCGTATTCAAAGCTGAATTATTTTTGTATAGGGTAACACTTTGAGTGGAGCGAATACTACTCCCCCCTTTATGTATTTCTATTGAGGTGTATTTATGTTAAAATATAAACCATTGTGTTTAATTCTGCTGTTCAGGAGAATATGAAGTACACAGTGTAAATGATTACTAAGACCTTACCATGTGTTGTCTGCCTGCAAGTCTGATTCTAAGCTCTCTTTCACAGTGCTTCTGATTACTATGATTATGGCCATGGAACCAGCCAGGAGACATATGAATCATATGGTTAGTAGCGTATAATACAAATTCATTATCATAAGACTCTCACATTGTTTTCATAGCAGAGTATTGGATTTAATTTCTACCAGATGAAAAAAACTTGCATTAGCAATTTAATATAAAGGATTTTGTTTTTTTACAAAAATTATGTCATAAAAACAGACTTCTTTTTAGAAAATGTATTCATCAGAAGTGAGCCCACTGACTAGGTGAGCACTTATTGCCCATCCCTAATTGCCCTTGAGAAGGTGATGGTGAGCTGCTGCCTTGAAATACTGCAATCTATTTGGTGTAGGTACACCCAAACTGCAGGAAATCTGTGCCTGTATTTATACTGCACACACCTTACTCACAGGGCTGCCAGTGGTTGCTTAAAGGTGGATTCTTCACTCAAAGGAAAACTGCTTTCTTGTATGAAAAGTTTGTGCATATAATGGGAGCACAAATGAGTTGCAGGGCTACCAGCATCTTAATGTTTCAATTTTGAAGAAGAGAAAGTGAGACCAAGGAGACAATATATTGTTCTCAAGCAACTGCAGGAGCATCCCATGACCGTTTATTAAGTTTGTCTGGACAGAAGTGGATCACCAGGAAAATGCGGATGCAATCATGTAGAAAAAATTGTCATCTCAGGAAGGGTAAGTACAGCTCTTCATGTTGTAATCCTTTCAACCACTTCTTTCATTCTCTCACCTGACTATGTCAAGAATTCCATCCTCTCTATCGCATAAATAAATGTACAGCCACAAGAGCATACAGCAACATGTGTCGTTCTCAGCCCAGGTATACTTGCATCTTTCTTTACTCCCTACGTTACATATGACCATTCACATTTCCTATCCTAACACTTAAATAATCATCACCTTGTCTTAGCAGCTCACTCAGTGTTATAGAAGTCCTACAGTATGGAAGAAGGCCATTTGGCCCATCACGTCCACACGAACCCTCCAAACAGCATCCAACCCAGACTTTACATACTACTGTATCCTTGAAACTCTGAATTTCCCATGGCTAATCCACGTTGCTGGCACAATCCTGGACACTGGGCAATTTAGCATGGCCAGTCCACCTAACTTGCACATCTTTGGACTGTAGGTGAAAACTGGAGTACCCAGAGGATATCCACACAGCCACTGGGAGAATGTCCAAACTCCACACAGTCCGGCAAGGCTGGAATCAAACTTGGGTCCTTGGCACTGTGAGGCAGCATTGCTAACCGCTGAGCCACCATGCCGCCACTTGTACATGCCAGTTATTTGGCTTTAAATTCATTACCTCTCCACCTTCATTCAACCTCGCTTCTTCTCTATCTTGCAGTGAATGCTGTAGATTCATAAACTCAATCTGTGTTTATTTACATTTTCAACATGTATTCACTATCTCTATTGTAGGAAAAGGCAATATATAATGCTAGTGAAAAAGCCAAGTGACTTCAGTGAGGAATTCAGAATTATACCTTTCACCCAAGCATATCGAACACTGATCTGCAATGAACAATGGGTAAGACGAGGTTAATGACCTGCCTGAATATGGTGCTAACAACCCTTCACTCACCTGCATTGCCAATAGTTTACATGTTTGACTTTTATTTGCCATTCTAATCCGTGCTCTTTTCCTCTCTATTGTAGGTATGTTCCAACAGTGAGATTCTTGAAGACTTGGTGGAGGAGGATAATCCCACTTGAATATGCAGTATCCTGTGCTGCATCGCTCCCAGGTTCCTGAATGACTCTCCTCTTGGGTTAGATAATGAAGCACAGAGGTCTGCACATAGTGAAAATGCAGTTGCTAGGATAATTCAGAAGACATCTCATTTGGTTTTCTCTACCCCTCTCTCTCTCTTTCTCTCTCTGTCATCTTTTTCTCTTTCATACTGTCTCTTTTTCATCATCCTCTACCCCCTCAAACTGCTAAGTAAGGATTGATAAGGACTTCAAGAGCCTAACCATGAAAAGTAAACCACTGGCTTCTGACAAACAGTGTGAGGTTTTAAAATAGGAGATAACACAGTGTGAAGCTGGAAGAACACAGCAGGCCAGGCAGCTTCAGAGGAACAGGAAAGCTGACGTTTCGGGTCGGCACCCTTCTTCAGAGGAACCTTTCTGAAGAAGGTTCCTGACCTGAAACGTCAGCTTTCCTGTTCCTCTGAAGCTGCCTGGCCTGCTGTGTTCTTCCAGCTTCACACTGTGTTATCTCTGACTCCAGCATTGGCAGTTCTCACTATCTCTGATGAGGTTTTAAAATGATGGGTTTCAGTACTATGACTGGAGTCATTGCTAGGTTGTCTGGTGCCATCTCCTTTGGCATCAGAAATTTGCATTCCACCAGTAATGGGGCTCTCCCAGAAGGAATCTATAACACGCCATGTAATTTTTATGGAATCTCAGAAGGCTATATATGCACTTTAGGATCCACCTTGGAGAGTCAGACTGGTTGAAACAGGACATGACTTTGAGAAATGATGAGCCTTCACTCCACAGCGCAGTAGTGTTGGGATACTGGATGTGGATGTGCAGTCTTGTGTCAGCCATGACTCAGTTAGAAGCATTCTTACCTTGTGAGTTTTAAGATTTGGGTTAAAGTTGCACAAAAATTAAGCCTGATACTCAAGTGCAATACCGAAAGAGCGCTATCTGTCGAAGCTGCAGTTTTTCAAAAGGAGATATTAATTTAAGGCTCCATGTGTCCGCACGGATGAATGTTAAATATCACATATATGCTATGATTAGGACAGTGGCCTAAGAAAAGGATACAGCATTTGCAAGCAGCTTCAGCTAGAAGTGCTGAACAGACAGTCTATCTTCTGACATGCCTGGCATCGCAGATGTCAGCCTTCAACCACTTTGATTCACTCCACTTGATGTCAAGAAACAATTGAAGACCCTAGATACTGCAAAGGCTATGGGCCCTGGCAAAATTCTGGCAATGGTATTCAAGATACGTGTTCCAGAAGTAGCCACATCTCTAGCAAAGCTGATCCAGTACGGTTAGAGCATCTGTCCAGCATATAGAAAATTGCCCATATATGTCATGTCTATAAAAAGCAGGCTAAATCAAACTGCGTCAATTACTGCCTCATCAGTTTCTGTTCTCAGTCAGCAACAAAATTATGGAAGGTGTTCTCGATAATGCTATCAAGTGACACTTAGTCAACAACGTCTTGCTGATGAATGCTCTGTTTGGGTTATATCAGGGCCACTCGGCTCCATGGCCTAATTACAGCCTTGATCCAAATGTGGACAATAGGACAGAATTCAAAAAGGAATGTCACGGTGACTACCCTTGATATCAAGGCAGCATTTGACTGTGCCTACAATCAAGGATCCCTAACAAAGCTAGAATCAATAGAAATTAGGAGGAAAGCTCACTATTGATTGGAGTCATTACAAACACAAAAAATGATGGTTGTCGTTGGTCGAGAGCAGTGGTCACAGATCATGATTGCAGAAGTACATCGAAGTAATATCCTAGACTTCCCCATCTTCAGAAACAAAATCAGAAATTACTGGAAAATCTCAGCAGATCTGACAGCATGCGGAGAAAGCAGATGCTCTAACCGTACTGGATCAGCTTTGCTAGAGATGTGGCTACTTCTGGAACACGTATCTTGAATACCATTGCCAGAATTTTGCCAGGGCCCATAGCCTTTGCAGTATCTAGGGTCTTCAATTGTTTCTTGACATCAAGTGGAGTGAATCAAAGTGGTTGAAGGCTGACATCTGCGATGCCAGGCATGTCAGAAGATAGACTGTCTGTTCAGCACTTCTAGCTGAAGCTGCTTGCAAATGCTGTATCCTTTTCTTAGGCCACTGTCCTAATCATAGCATATATGTGATATTTAACATTCATCCGTGCGGACACATGGAGCCTTAAATTAATATCTCCTTTTGAAAAACTGCAGCTTCGACAGATAGCGCTCTTTCGGTATTGCACTTGAGTATCAGGCTTAATTTTTGTGCAACTTTAACCCAAATCTTAAAACTCACAAGGTAAGAATGCTTCTAACTGAGTCATGGCTGACACAAGACTGCACAAGACTGTCGGGTTCAATGACCCTTCTTCAGAACTCTAGCAGTTTCTGATTTTCAGCATCCACTGTTCTTTTGTTTTTGCTTTTCACCCATCTTCAGCTTCTTCATCATTTGATTTTCCCTCTGTCTTAATGGTTTGCTGATGATTGCACAAATGGTTAGCATTATTCATGACTCTTTCAGATATATGCCTAAAAGACCTGGAGAATATTTCAGGTTTAGGCTGATAAGTTGAAGTTTTTTTTCTACCTAAATGCCAGGCAATGATCACGTTCCATGAGACAATCCAATCATTGCTTCTTGATGTTTAATGGCATCACCATTGCTGAATCCCCCATTCACGATATCCTGGGGTAAGCCATTGACCAGAAACTAAACTTAGTAGTGATATGAATATCATGACTACAATAACAGGTTAGGGGCTGTGAGCTCTGCCTGATACCCCAAAGTCTTTTCCAGTATCTATGAAGCACAGGTCAGGAGGAATAATCTTCACTTGCCTGAATGTGTGCAGCTCCAACAACACTCAGCTTTTCCTGGTCAGAGCAAGCCTCTTGTTTGCCACCCAATCTAATGCCTTCAAAATGCACTACCTCTATAGCAGACTTACAGTGGCAGCAATATGTGCCGTCTACTAGAAGTGCTGCAGAAATTTACCTAGGCTCCTTAGACAGCAACTTGCAAACCACTACAACTATCATCTTGAAAGACGAGGACAGCAGATACATGGGAACGCCACCAACGGCAAGTACCTCTCCAGTCATTGACTTGGAACCTGACAGCATTGTGGTTTGTACCTATGCCACGTGGATTGCAGTATTTCAAGAAGACAGTTCACCACCACCTTCTCAAAGGCAATTCAGAATGGTTTATAAATTCTAATCCAGCCCAGATCCCACGAATGATATTTTAAGCAATGCAGGTGAGTAATCCTCAGTGTTTTGGTCAATATTTATATTTCAATCAACTATCACAAAACACTGAGTCTGTAGTCGTTATCACATTGCGGTGGAAAGTTGCTTTGGTGCAAATTGACTACCATATTTCCTACATTACAACAGTGACTGCTCTTCAAATGATTATAAAATAACTTGAAATGCTTGGTGGTCATTTAAGGCAATATAAAAATGCAAGATTTCCATTTTTCTTAAGATGTCAACATAATGACTATTTAGATACTGTTATTGTTAATAGTCCCATGGTGCCAGCGGATTAATTGGACCAGACTTCCCAGCAACACATAAATGCAGCAATCTATAGCCAGAGACTCTAGGTTAAGAACTGAGAAGTTACTGGTCATCTACATTTCAAAGGTCTCAATTTGATGAGCAACCACCTTCTGCCAACCTTGTTAAAACTCATCAGGAAGCAGCCCATTACAATAGTGAAGTTCGTAAACCTACTTTGAAGAAAATGTAGGATTGTTAACTTAAAAAGTAAATGCTTGTGATTTTCTTTGCAGACTTTGTGTTGTCAGTATCATCAATATAGAAATTCTGACTTATTGTTTATTTGATGCAGATTGAAGACAGTGGCAAAAGATGTAATAAGGGCTGGACGGAGTACAACCCTAACAGGGCTACATAGACTGCATGCAGGGAAGATGTTTTCCCTGGTTGGGAAGTCTAGAAGTAAGGGACATAGTCTCAGAATATGGGATAGACCATTTGGAACTGAAACATTTTTTTTCACTCCATGGGTAATGATTAGGTGAAGTTCTGTACTGCAGAAGGTAATAGAGGCCAAGTCATTGAATATATTGAAGAAGGAGATTAAACCTAAAATTTTGGGCTTAATGGCATCAAGAGGTGTGAGTGAAAGCAGTAATATGACAAAGAGATCAGGGTGAATCATGAAAGCAGGAACACTAATCAGCTGGACCTTTTGAAATTAGTGCTGAGTTCAAATAGATTTAGTTTTCACCGTCCAAAGAGCTTTGAGGTTCAGTGTTAGAACCATAGTTTTATGTTTGAGATGCAAGTACTTGTGAAGGAAGGACTTAAGGTCTGTTTGAGTCTCACAATCTGAAATATAAAAGGCCTTTAACATTAGAAGAAAGTATCTACAGCTTTCACTTATAAACCAACAAATATTCCTGTACTGGAGTGTATTGATTGACAGGCTATTAGGTTTAGCTGAGAAAAAGAAAATATTAGCTATGTGTTATTATAATTTTTAATGGATTCTAGAGTTTATATTGCTAAGTATTTGTATTTTAACTGAGCCCATTATCAATGCTTGGCTAAGTTTCCAAAGGTCCAGAACCAATTATCTCAGTCATGGGTCTTACAGACATTTTGGTTGACAGTTTAAAGAAGTTACCAAAGGATTAAATGACTTTGATCTGACTGAAATAGATGGAAGTATGGCTAGAACGATATCAAAAAAAACAGGTTTATAGGATCGGGAAATCTTCCAAATTGACCATATCAACTTATTAGTCAAAATCCAGCTCATCAAATCAATGTACAACTAAGGGAGAAAGTTATTGGAGACTCTTATGTTATTGTTGAGGCTTCTATCAAATACTTGTGCACCTGACAAAGAAGTAGTTAGTTAAGGAAATAAACTCTTGAATAAACTCTTATTATTTGCGAGTGAGTGAGTGTGTCGCAGAACCAACAGTTAACACTGAATGGGAATATAATGCACTAAAGATTAAATTAAATTCTCACCATATTCCAAGTTTCCCCCAAAATGTTACAATATTGAAGTAGAATCAGGAGGTTTTCTTCACATCCAGGTATTTATCTCATTGAACCATACTGGATTCTTAAGGGGCTTGACAGATTAAATGCTGAAAGGATGGTTGCCTTCATGGGAGAGTCCAGGCTCAGAATAAGGGTGTCAGTTTAAAACCGAGACAAAAAGGAATTTGTTCTCTGAGGGTTGTGAGTCTTTAGAACTCCTTGCCACAGAGAGCTGTGGGGCAGAGTCCTTGTCAATACCTAAGGCTGAGATAGATAAATTCTTGATCAGTATGGGAATCCAGTGCTAGGGGGATAATACAGGATAGTGGATGATAGCAATGTCCAATCAGCCAGGATCCTGTTGAATGGCAGAGCAGGCTGAAGGAGCCAAACCGTCTACTCCTTTTCCTATTTCTTAGGGTTTTATTGGAAATCTAACTATTGAGATTAGATAATTAAAAATATTAAAACTGAGTTTTATAGTTTGTTAGGTGAAGATAATGAGGAACCAGGTGAGTAATAAAATTGAAGAACAGATCAGCCATTATGATCAATTTATTAATTACTAAACAGATTTGAGAATGCCCTACGTCTATGTCTATATTCATAATAGCTTTATTTTGACATCTCCCTTTCAAAATAACGTGCAATAAGATACTGAACTTAACAAGTACTAAACAATATAAACATGGTCTCAGAAGCATTTAAAACTTTCTTTTTAGATCGCATGATTGAAAGTTCTTGTATATATTTCTAGGCAATGTCAAATGCGAGTGATACTATTCCTGCATCAGACTTATCTGAATTCGGTTTTGCGTATGAAACCTCTACATCCCAGTCAAAGGCTTTATGAAGTGCAAACTGTCTTTTTTTAATCAGCAAATGATAACTGACCATCAAGGTCTAAATTAAGCATGTGTTACTAAAATGACTTGTCTTGCGTAGATATTCCCATCTTTTCAGGTCATGCTTTATCTATGCAATTTGATTTGAATGTGGAACAAAATGTGTAATTACTTTATCAGTCAGGTATGCTGGTTTGATCACTCAGCCAAATTGTCTCCAGAGCTGTCCCTGAAATCTAGTTCCATCTCAGTTCTGGTTTATACAGAACTGTGTAGAATTATATGCAAAATTCTGACAATCCAATTAATCGTTTTCAGAATCAGAAACAGCTTCCACAAGATAAATACTTGTGAACGGAAACTTCATGAAAGATTTATTTGACTTTAATATAGCATCTGCCTAGAGACATTATTCGCTGGTTTAACTTTTGTGATGAAAGAGTTAATATAAAATGCAGAAAATAAAAATATTGTTCTACAACATTAAAGCAGTTACTTGGAGAATTAATCTTTCGGTCATTGTGTTTTCTTATAGATAGCATTTTTTTTAAAAATTCTGTTTTACAATGTTAGTCTGTCATATGGAAATTCAATTGAAAACTTATACTTTGCCATCTGAATTTCCAGTAGGTATTATTGTGGGCTGCTTGACTGCTCTAATGGAGATTTGTTTTTCTGTAATAACCACAATAGGTCAGGAAGAGTGGACGAACTCCAACTCACGGATGAAAGCTCCTCCAGCAAGAGCACCTAAAGGAGCATACAGGGAACACCCCTATGCACCCCGATACTGATTCTTCCATCTATTCTGTGAAATACAATCATCAGTTAGCTGTTTCTGCAGTGATGTACGCTGTTAAAAGTAATTGGTTATTTTATATAAAAGTTTTTTTCTTCTTAAATACAACAGATCTGCTTAAACAGTTCTGAATTCTTGTATGAAGTCATTTAATCTTTGAATGGAGAGATTATTTGATCTCTGGAAGGAAATGGGTGGAAAGAAAGACTTTGATCTTATATGCTCTGTTGGAAACAAGTAAACAGGATTAACACGTTTTTTAATTTTAACTAGCCTTTAAAAATCTATTACCAAACTAGGTTTGATAATGTAGATCACTTAAAATGTAAACACAAATTCAGTTAACATCAATGTTTTTTTTTTGTTTTGCTTTTAGTTTAACCTAGTTTTAAGTTTTTTTGGTTTGAACTTTTAAGTTTAGCTTGTGTTAGAGCATTATCCCTTGTAAACTTTTACTTAAACAAAGTAAACTCCAAATGCCAAGTAAAGTTGTATTCTTTTGTAACTGAAGTCTCCAGATATTCTGTAGTGTTGAGATCAAAGACATTGACTATTCTTGCTTGATACAAATAAAGTTTTGAGGAAAAAACAAGCTTGCTGTGTGTGACATATCAGTAACTTTGATACATTTTCTTATAACACCAAATAAATCCACAAAAATCTTTTAAACAGGGAAAATATACTTTTGTCTTTTTAAAATTTTCTTTTTAAAAAAAGTCAGTTTGTCTTGAGGTTGATACAGAAATATACCTGAATGATGTTTTCAAAAAAAATCAAAAAAGTCCATATTGTTGGCCTTTGAAAATACACGACTGAGCAGTGAATATATGAAGAATGTGATCAGCATTTCATCTTGTCTAAGCATTTTTTCACTAGTGCACTTTGGAATTTTTATGAGAATTACCTAAATGAACCCTCCGCTGGAAGCAATTAAAGCTTTTTAGAGGCAAACAGACTTGACTAATGTGGCATTCGTCAGAGGCAGTGGATGTGTAACCCTTAAAAGGTCTTCAGTTGCAAAGGTAAATGAATCAAGTAGATTTTAATATCACTTAATTTACCTTTAACATTTAAAACCAGTAAACGCTAAAAGAAAGCAAGGTTGTAAAGCTGTTAGAGTAAAAAAACTTACTGTAGAAAAGGTTCAAGTACTTCTAAACTCCTAACAATTATAAATCAATCTTGTAATTCTGTAGAGACTAAACTATATAACTGCAAAGTAAGCAGTAGCTGATCTCTTAAATTCTATCCTGTTAAACAAGTGTAAAAACCACATAACCTTTGTCTATAATTGTGTATAGTTAGCCTCAAATGCTTAATGTTTGATATTGAATCAGAATAAATTCACTCTAAACAATGTCCTTTTTTCTAGCATTTTGTCTAGTGATTGTTTAAGGCTTGTCTGTTTTCTAAGAGTTATTATTTCATTCTGGCTTTTGGTGTCTTCATAATATATTCATATTCATGATTTTTTTCCCTCCATTTACAGGATCTTTTCTCACATCTATGGCCAAAATGGGAATGAAGTGATCCTGGAACTAGGCATTATGGTATGTATTTAGAGTGATCTTCATTCCATTGTTATAGGCATTGATCCTTTGAGTGACAAATATCATCAAACAGTCAAGAAGACATTCTTCTGTAACAGATATTTTCCATTGTTCCATCCTTTTTATCCTTCTCTCTTTCCTTACATTGACTCATTCTAGTGTACTGCAGTTTGAATGCACTAAACAATCAGGTGCATCAAGAAGTCATTTTTAATGTCTGACTGCAGATGCTGAATACCCATTCCAACTTCTGAAGCTGATTTGTGAAGTCTGTAGGAGTTCCCTAACATGCATTTACTGGGAAAGCAGGCACTACAGTTTGTCTCAATCCAGCCACTACCTAATATTATCTATAAACCAGCATCTTGCAGCATGAATTATTTGGTGTTGATGAGTGAAAGCTGGTTTTCCCATTCCAGCCTAGCAATACTGAGGATAAATGCATTGTCATTTCTGGGACATATCAGTTCATCCAGCACAGACTCCAAAAGAAACAGAAATCTTTTCTGATTCATGTAGCTTATTACTCCAAATATGTTGTTGGTAAAATAATTGAATTATTTATCTGCAGATGTCTGAATGCTGACTATTAGCTGTGTAAATATCTGGGCCTTGGTTTTTCACTTACTAAATATTCTGAATGTAGAAATGTTGCAATGTAGCAATATTTAGTGCAGCAAAACAACACAATCTTACTCAAAAAAAGTAGTTCTCAGTAGACCTGGGTACACAAAATTAAAATGTTATGATTGGTAATCCTATTTGAATTACAAAGCTGGGGATGATTAAAATATATGTAAGAATTCAGAGGGGATGAAATTAACTTCCATTGATTTCAGGTCAGTGTAAAGCATCTAAGAGATTACTTTAGCATGAACGAAAAGTTTTCAATAACATTTTGAATAATATGATGATATCTTACTTTTTTAATCAAGGGCTGCAATCACGATTTGCAATCGGCAATACTTGTTCCAATACACAGATGACCTGAGCCTGGGATTCTATAGAGCGCTCCAAGGAGGATATAAACTATAGAGAGAAATTTATTTTTAAAATAACTGGAATAAAAATGGGAAAACTTGAAAATATGTAATTGTTACATAGTATCCAAAATGAAAAAAAGACAAAGGTATTAGTTGCCCTCCTTGGTAAGGCACTCACCTAAGCTAGAAGTGCTGAAGCAGAGCTAAAGAACTTAATCCCAGCTTGTATATCATTGCAGTACAGAGACACTGTTGCATTTTTTTAGGGGCATCATATCTCCAATGAGATTTTAAACCAAGCTCCTGTCTACTTCAGATGTTGGTAAAAGATCCCATGATGTTATTTGAAGCAGAATAAGGAGCTCAAATGGTCCATTTTTTCATTGCCATTTCCGTTGGCTATGAAGTACTTTGGCATATCCTGAGGAAAGTAAAATGTTTTTAAATGAAAGTTTGTTGTTTATTTTCCAGACGCTGATTGAATCTCTTAACAGTTTTATAATTTAATCTAAACCAGAAGGCTCTAATTGTATTCAATGGAAAAGATCACTTCAGCTTTTGTCTTACTCTGTAGCCATCTCATTTAGGCAGTACTTGTCATACAAAATAAAACTGCAGATGCTGAAGATCTGAAACAAAAACAAATTGCTGAAGAAATTCAACATGTCTGGCAGCATTTGTGGAGAGAAAGCAAAGTTAATATTCTGTGTCCAGTGACCCTTCTTCAGAACTTTGGTGTTCTGAAGAAGGGTCACTAGACCCCTAACATTATCTCATCTTCTCTCCACAGATACTGCCAGACCTGCTGGATTTCTCTAGCGATTCCTGTTTTTGGTGCTTATTACTCAAACTTGTTAAAATGCTTGCAGAACTGGGCACAGTCATTTCAGTTTACTAATATATGGCTGAAAGCTCTTGACCTTCTGAGTCTGCTTTCAAATTGTTTACAAAAAGGACGAAACTTCCTGAATCTGCTCCTTCATTTTATGCAATTCAGCCTTTCTAATCATAAACCTCTCCTCTCCATATGTTTTTTCATACCCTTCCTTCTAAATTTAATTCCTATCTACCTTATTGTAAGCTTCTCTTAACTACGGCTGTGATATTTTGGGGTAGTGGATGTTCTCCCTGATTCACGTTTCCTATAACATTTCCAAGCTCAGTGTATATCTGTTGTGAGAAGGGAGCGTGATTGCAGATTGATCTCCTTCCTTATTTTAAGTATCTCAGCCAGATTGTCATTTAATCTCATCACTAGGACTTAATAACACAGTTTTACTCTGCTTTTCCCCACTGCTAACTCCGTTCATTCCTGTTTTGATCCAGATATGTTCAGATATTTTGAAAATCATTTTTCCTTAATCATGGCACTGTGTAAAAGAGATGCCAGAGGACTGGAGAATTGCAAGTGTTGTAGCCTTGTTCAAGAAAGGTTGTAAAGATAATGCCAGGAATTACAAACCAGCCAGTTTAACTTCAGTGGTGAGAAGCTTCTAGAAACAATTATTCAGGATAGAATTAGTAGTCCCATCGAAAGAGGTAGGTTGATTAAGAGAAAGTATCCATGGATTTCTTAAGGGGAAACAGTGTTTCACTAACTTACTGGAGTTTTTTTTTGAAGAGGTTACAGAAGGGCTTGACAAAGATAATGCTGGTGATGCATACATGAACTTTCAGAAGGCAGTTGATACAGTGCCACACAAGAGACTTGTGATGAAATTATAGGTCGGTGGAAAAATGACAGTAGCAATGTGGATGTAAAATTGACTGAGTGACAGAAAATAGACGGTAATGGTCAATGAATATTTTTCAGGCTGGAGAAAGGATTAGTGTGGAGTTCCCTGGGTTGCTACTGGGACCCTTGTTTTTCCTAATATATTATTGATCTGGATATTGGTGTGCAGGGGGCAGTTTTGAAGTTTGCAGCTGACAGAAAACTTGGAAGAGTTGTAAACTGCATAAGGACATTGACAGGTTGGTGGAGTGGACGGATAGGTTGCAGAGAAGGTTCAATGCAGAGAAACGTGAGGTGATGCACTTTGGTAAGAAGAACATTGGAAGATAACATAAAATAGGAAGTACAGTTCTAAATGGGGCGTAGAAGCAGTGTGTATCTGCATAGATAATTGAAGTTGGTAGGACTAGTGGAAAGAGCAGTTAATAAAGCAGACAGTGTCCTTAGTTTCATTATTAGAGACATAGAGTACAAAAACAAAAGGGTGACATTAAATTCATACAAAACACATATTAAACCTCAGCTGGAGTATTGTATACAGTCATGGGTGCCACATTATAGGAAAGATGTGAATGCATTAAAGAAAGTACAGAGGTGATTTACAAGAATGGTTTCAAGAATGAGAAATTTTAGTTATCAGGTTAGATTGAAGAAGCTGGGATTGTTCTCCTTTGGAGAGAAAAAGGTTAAGGAGATTTTGATGATAACAAGGTGTAGAGCTGGATGAACATAGGAGGCCAAGCAGCATCAGAGGAGCAGGAAGGCTGATGTTTCGGGTCTGAACCCTTCAGAAATGAGGTTTCTGGAGGTTTTGATGGAGCGTTGCTAAAATCATGAACAGGCTGGATGGAGTAGATAGAAAGAAGTTGTTCCCACAAGAGCAAGAAGGCATAGATTTAAAATGATATGCAAAAGAAGCAAGGGTGATGTCAGAAAAAACATTTTCACCTAGAGATTAGTTAAGGTGTGGAATACAACGCCTGGAAACATGGTGGAGGCAAGTTCAGTTGAGGCATTTAAGAGGGCATTGGCTATTTGTTTGGATAGAAATAGTATGCAAGGATATAGAGGAAAAGCAGGAGATTGGCACTCAGTAATGACGCTCACTTGAAGAGTCAGTGCAGGCACAATGGACCAAATGGTCACATCCTGTACCATAACAATCTGATTCTGTGCTTTTGTCTTGGATGGTCTTCTATTAAATTCAGGTTTTAGCTCTATTTTCAATTGTGTATTTATTTTCAGTTTTTTGGAAGATCTTAATTTTTGCTTTTAAGAAAAGCTGAAGGTCTAGTTCAGATGATGTTTAAGTTTAAGTGATTGGACATTACATGAATGATTTATTTAAATTGTATTGTTTTTTTTCTTCACTGACACTCCATTAATCTTTATGTTCTGAACAGAAAAGATGGCATTTTCATAGAGGGACAGAAACTTCTCTCTTCCTGATTGACAGGCGGGGACACAGCTGAGGAGCAAAATTTCAGGACATTACATAGAAGTCTAAAATGTTCATGGTACTTGAGAATTTTGTCAGAGCAGAAAAGCTGAAGAACAAAGACTGCACTCCTCAGAGGAACAAATTCTCCTGTTGAGCAAACAAGTATACAAGAATTTACAAAGGAATTTAAATATTAATGAGGCTAACGTGTCAGCCATGCTTCAGAGCCTAATCATCTATTGTGAGATGAGATGCAAGTTGCAGGTCACCGTTGGCTGGAGTTGACATTAATATAAAATAACAGTGCTCTAGTGTAGGGAAGCTGAGACCCTTGGTGGAACAAACTGGAGACTGGGCTAAGTTGGTGAGCACATTGGAGCACTCTCATTGAGTGTTCTTACCCGAGTGCAAGGGTGAGAATCTGGAGAATTGAACCTCGCAGATAACCATGGATTCTAACCACTGTGATTTGAAAACTCGTGGGGATGCAAATGCAAGAAAGGACAAGAGGATTATGAGGCAGGCATCACTAAAGCTAGGCCCTATCTCTCTTTTGAGATTCTGCCATTTTATAAGCACAGAATATTTGAGACCTCCTCTTCAAAAACCTGCATCCTTCTCAGAAAATTTGGCATTTGCTTCTCCCCAGCAAGCCTTTCAGTAATTGATTAGACAGCCCAGAGAGAATTGTTCTTCCTTTTCCAATATTTGGCCATGCTACTTGCTTTGCATTTTGATGTTAGGACATCCTCCCCATTGGGAGAAGTCCACTCAATATTACTGTTTTGGATTTGAGTATTGTTGGGCAATTTGTTATAATATCACATCACAACAGAAATGTTTTCTTTTCCCTTGCTTCATAAAATATTAAAATATTATAATATGTATAAAATTGAAGTACAATGTATATACTCCCCATTCATGTCATATATTCATAAAATAAACCTATACTTATATAAATATATATGCTTATGATAGGATTATTTAACAGCATGAAGTGCTTGTGTGAAGTGAATGGCGGTGAATCTGTTTTTTGCAATAGATTCTCATCTTTTCAGCAACACATACATCAGCTCCTACTTATATTAAAATTATCCAGTTTTCCTTTTTAGAAGCCCAAAGAAGTTTTTTGTCTTTAGACACAAATAAAACTTGTGCACTTGCCGTTTACTGATCAGTGTGCTATTTCTGCAGCCCTCTAAGATTTGTAAGCTATATTTCTAAGGCTATTTCCAAACTCTTCTATATTGTGTTTCCTGACCTATTTTCACCTTTTGTTTGACACTGGTGTTATTTTGGGGAGTCAGTGTGATCCACTTGGGCTCCTAATTAAGCAATTCTTTGATTTTAAATTTCCCCGACTGTCTTTCAAACCCCTCCTTGGCCCCTTCGTCCTGACTTCTGAATTCTTTTCCATCCCTACATATCTAGTTCTAGTCTCTTGAGCTTCCTGATTTTGATTGCTCTTGTGATTGTGCTCCAGGTGCGAAGGACCCAAATTTTAAAATAATATCCATAGAACTCTTTACTGCTTTTAAATGCTGTCTTGGTCAAGTTTTTTTTTAATTTGCCATAACTTCTCCTAATGTCAATCCTTTCTTTCACAACATGCCTGTGAAGTGCCTTGAGACACTAAAAGGTGTGAATTGTTAGTAGATTTAAGATCTTGATTTTCTCATTGGTAATTGGCTTTCATTTGTAAGAAATGGCAATCAAATTGGCTACATAGGTAGAAGCAATAGGTGCAGAGTGCTGTCATCTGCAAGCTAATGTGCAGTTGAAGACTGATACTACTATTGGTAGCAATAAAATTCATCCTTGAGCACTTTCCTGTTGTTTTCTCATTAGAACAGTGCAAAACACTGCATTCAATTTTCAGAAAACATACGACTCTGGGAGGTGTAGTGCAGATTCACCAAAATGCTACCAAGGCTAAAGTGTTAAGTTCTGAGAAAAGGTTGCAAAGATTGGGTTGTCATTCTTTTGAATATGATTAATTCAGTGAAGATCTGTTTAACGTGAATAAAGGAAGTATGAAAAAAATTCAGAACATTGGCCGTTAAGCTCTTCAAGTCTGCTCCACTGATCTGAATCATGGCTGATCATCTACCTCAACGTCATATCCCTATATTGCTGTTAGTAATTAGAAATCTATAGCTTCTCACTCTTGAACTTATTTAATGACTGAGCTTCCACAGCATTCTGGGCTGGAGAATTCAGAAGATTCACTGCCCTCTTGAGTGAAGAATTTCCTCCTCATCAGTCCTTCTGTTGGGAGATTGTAAGTTCTGTTGGGGTCTGGTTCCAGACCCCAAAGCCAGGGGAGGCATCCATTTTCATATTTATTCTGTCTCTCCCCTAATTAATTTTCTAAATGCCTATGAGATCACATCTCATTCTTTCAAACTCCGGAGAATACAGGCCCTGCCTCCTCAATCCTTCACTGGACAACTCTACCATCACAGGAATCAGTGTGGTGAACCGCTGCTGCACTCCCTCTATGGCAAATAAATCCTCCCTTAAGGGCGGGGACGACAGCCACACACAATCTTGCAGGTATGGTCTCACTGATGTTGTAGCTTCAATTACATAGACTTCTTTGCTCCTGTACTAAATTCTCTTGTGATTAAGGCTAACGTACAGTTTGCCTTCTGAAATGCTTGCTGTACCTACACGCCAGCTTTCAGTGACTTGTGAACAAGGACACCCCAGTCCCATTAGACATGAATACGTTGCAATCATTCACCATTTGAGAAATATCTACACCTTTAGTTCTCCTACGAAGGTGGATTCGCACACACTTAACTACATTGTATTTTATCTGCCATGCCTTGCTCACTTACTCGCCCTCCTTAACTTCCCTAATTCTTTGCATTTTCCTCTCCACTCACATTCCTACTAAGTTTTGTGTCATCTCCAAACTTGGAAGTATTGCAATTGGCGTCAAGTCCAAAGTCCTAATAAAACATCTGGGGCCAATACACCAATCCTTGTGGTACTTTACTGGTCATATCCTGCTAATCTGAGAATTAACCATATATTCCTACTGTTTTCTGCCTATTAATCTTGAATTGTCCAAACCTATTATCCCCAATCCCATGTGTTTCATATTGGATAATCAGAGACCTTCTAAAAATCCAAACACACCATATTCACTAGGTTCCCTTTATCAACGCTGCTGGTAACATCCTCAAACTGTGAGGTCTCACAAATACCCTGATCCCATCCTTTATTATCTGCACGAGACCTGGTGGATTTTGTTTTTTTTTTGACTAACATTACTGAATAACTAATATCTTTTAATATTCAGTCCCATTCTTGGATACCCTTCAGCCACATCTCTGCATTGGCAATTCAATTAAACCCTTTATACTTCTTTTCAAGCCATCAATTCACCTATCTTGTTGAGAATGCAGCATACATTCAGATAGCGTGCTTTTAATTCTGCCTTTTTGACACTAATCTGCAATTTGATTTCATTGGTGGTAGGATTTGTTGGTGCTTTTCACATTCTCTTTTCTACTTCACATAACATCTTTGCTTTTACTCTATCCAACCTTCAACAAGCTAGTTTAAACCGTTTCCAATAAACAGGAAAATCTCCCCATGAGGATATTTAGTCTCAGAATTTCTAAGGTGTAAACTTCGCTCCTTGTACAGATTCTGCCTGCTCTAGAACCAGTCCCAATTTCCCAGATATCTAAAGGCCTCCCTCCTACACTATTTTCCTAGCCATGTTTGATTTGCTCAATCTTCCTAGTTTTGCTCACTAGCAAGGGATACTGGGAGCAATCCAAAGATCAGAGGTCCTGCTTTTCAGTCTTTTGCCTTATTCTCTAATTTTTAATTTCAGAATCCCAGCCCTCTTTCTCCCTGTGTTGTTGGTCACGTATGGGCCACGATCTCTGGCTCTTCACCCTCTCAGAAAGAATGTTCTGAAGCCACTCTGACATCCTTGAACCAGGCACCAGGGAGGCCATCCTGGAATCTCAACGACCGCCACAGAACTGTCTGCTTTTTCATCTAATTATTGATTAATCTATAACTACTGTCCTTCCACCCTTCACCCCCAGCCTAAGCAGCAGCCACTTAGACTCCCTTAGAGTGCCACAAGTTTGACTTTCACTACATTCCTCTGAACCATCACTCGTACCAGTATCCAAACTAGAAAATTGAATGCGATACATTCAGAGACTTCCGAACCATGTGTATGGTCTTAATCTATATGTGATCACTTGTTAAAAATGCTATCCATGTTGCTTGCACCTTTGCTCCGCTGATGTGCTCAGTTGTATAATCTGGATTTCAAGTTTTTCTACCTGGAGACACTTCCTGCACATGTGATCATCTAGGCCAAATGAAGCATACACAATTCCCCACACGGCATTTCATGCAGCCATGCTCTCTTGCCATACTTTAAGTTTACTATCAGACTATTTATTTTAAACTGGAGATGAAAAAGCAACAAGTTGTGAAATTACACACCAATGAATTAGACCTATCTCTGACTGCTTGTCTCGAGAGACCTTTTCTTGCTTACTCCTCAAGTTGATGTTGACTGTGAGCTTTTAGGGGTCACCCTCTCTTCTTCTAGGGGATGCTGACTCAATTGTGGGGCCATTTCTCTGCCTCTTTGTTCTGGAGTCGCCCAGGAAAACAAGGAGGTATATCCTTAAAATTCAGACCTAGACTGTTTTAGTGTGCTGTGAGGAGAAACAAAAAGGTGAGATTGTTGGGACGTATTTTCCTAAGGTTTTTGTGAGCTAGGGTTTTAAGGGATATGAAACCGAAACAATTAACTGGAGTGAAGTTACAGATGAACCATTATCTGCCAAAGGCAGAACCACCTCAAGGGACTGAATAGCCTGCTCCTAGTTGTTACGTTCTTCCAGGATATGCTATTACCTGAGAAAGTTATCTTCTGAGTAGCAAACAGGGTTACTCTCAACTCATTCAAACCCCAACCACTTGATCCATCAGTCAGGTTTTTTGGAGTTTTGAATCATTTTCAGGTTTTTGAGAAGAGATTCAGATTTTTGCTTTCTCACACATTGTCTCCAACAGATGGATTTTTCCAAGGTTTTCTGTTGCTCAGCCTTTGCAAAGTCTGAGACCTTTGTAAATACTAGGAATTTACCTTTTACTCTTTGGATCTCTTGAAATGCACCTATCACCTATTTACTGTATTTTATTCAGTTTACCCAATCTCTGGTGTGCACTGTATCAGGTCCAATTGTAACTGCTAGTCACTCAATTTTGTAAATGAAAATGAACTGGAAACTAGGACATGTCAAGCAATTAGTTTGCTGACAAGTGTTAAGAATGTACCAGCAAGGTAATTGTTTGGCAGGTTCTAATAATATATACCTAATGGGAAGCCCAGCAGCAGATCTATATATCTTTTGTGTTTTCACCAAATGACCAGATGACCTCATAAATAATTGAGGACAAACTAGCAAGTTATACCAAGATGGACAGAAAGAGCCTCTTTAAATATATAAAAAGAAAGAGATGCTAAAGCGAATACAGGCCCCGTAGGGAATGAGGCTGGGGAAATAATAATGGAGAACTAGGAAAAGGCAAAGAAGTAGAACGATACTTTACAACAGGCTTCACAGTAGAGGATAGTAATAGCTTTCCAAAAATAGTAAATAATGAAGGGGCTAAAAGAGATGAGGAAATAAATATGGGAATTATCACCAGAGGAAAGGGGAAACTAATGAGGCTAAAGACCAATTAAATCCCCTGGATCTGAAGGTTTGCATTCAAGAATTTTAAAGGCATAAGCTGTAGAGATAGTTGATGGACTGGTAGTAATCTCAAGGATCTGTAGATTCTGGAAAAGTTCCAGAGGATTTGAAAACTTAATGTAACACCCTTACTCCAAAAGGGAGGAATAAAAAACCAAATAAAAGTTAGC